CCACCTTCCATTCTTTTCCCAGGCAGCCTGCATGGCCTTCACTAAACTGCCCAGATAATGTTGTCTTAGCAAAGCTCTCCTTCCTGAACAGGTTTCTACTTGCCTTAGGATAACTTTAGAGCAATTAACTACCCTATAAAAAGCTGCAAGCAATTTATCATGTAGACTGAGACATGTAAATGGTTTGGGGGATCAAACGGTATATATGATTTGTGCATTTACAATTTGCATCATCCTACAACACACAACTTTCCTGTCAACTATTTCTCCATCATGACATATTTCTGGGCCTGTTCAGATATTATTTATTGGGGAGAAACACAATTTGGTGGGAGCCTAAGACTCATGGCTTCCCTGGCCTTTCATGAAAGGGAGACCCTTCCATGGTTCAGACTACACTGTGTCTGGTCCAAGCTATACGGCACAGTAAGGAAGCAGGAGAGTGCCATGCTAACACATGCCAAAATCACAAGAAGGACCACAGTTTCAGCAGAACTCTCTGTGCAGATTAACAGAAGTCATTAAATAAAAAGAGACAGAGAAAGGAGTATTATTTTATACTCTCTTCCCTTGTATTGTACATACAGTGTAATAAAAAAAAACATGGAAGAGACCCAAGATATTAACAGGACAGAGCTTCACAGGGATGGAAGGAGAATCTCTCTCTGCGCCAGCTTACAAACCTTGCTAAATAATTTATTCTTTAAATTGCACAATGTGCCTTATTTATTAACAGGTCTGAAGTAGTTTGCATAACCACATTACAAATTCGTTTTGTGGTTTCTGATACACACACATACACAATCTGCTCTTTCAAAGCCATAGTGGAAGAGTTGAAAAGTTGCCTACTTTTTCTGTTGGCACATTATGCATCCTTAAATAGAGCAATTAATTTCAAACTCTACTTGTCTGAATAATCATAAATCACTGTACTAATGGCTTGACAGAAGAACTAGTAAAGTTAGCTACAGTATGCTGCAGTCTATAATGAAACAGTTTTAATACATGCATACACTACACTTTAGTAGAAAACAATATATTAAAACTCATAAGATACTCACAGGCAATCTCATTATTTCAGCTCTAGAAATTCTGGCCTGAGTTTAATACATTAAACAATATATTAATCAAAAACTCATAAAATACTCACAGGCAATCTTATTATTTCAGCTCTAGAAATTCTGGCCTGAAAAAAAATGTGCCTCTAGGATGTTTCTCTCTACTACTCTTGACTCATATTTGTTCCTTGAATTGTCAAAGTAGATTGAAGTCCATTGTGGAGTAAATAGTCTTTATATATAACAAAAGCTTTTCAAGTCCATGTCACTACCCCAAGGAACATGATCAAATACAATCATATTATAGGCATATCTTTATAAGAACACTTTTCATATTCATTAAAGCAGACAAGTGAGTATGTGAAAAACTCATTATGGGTGGGGGGAAAATGGCTGTTCAAAGTATTCTCTCCCTAATGGGTTCTATTTATCTTAACTAAAACCAAATTTAACCAACAGTTTTTACCCAGTGAGTTCTGGGCTAACCTATGTAAAACTCTCAAAGGAAGTGTCAGGTTGGGGAAACTTAACTTTTAGCATTCACCCTCTGCTGGATCACAGAATATGCATATTTACAATTTATCCATTATCTCTCAACACTTAAAACTGGGCTAAAGCTCCTCCTCTGCTCCTTCACCTGTGGAAGGCCATCCCATCCTCTCTCTCTTTCTTCTACCAGACCACCCTACATACTGCAAAAATCACGTGAATGCTCAGTATTACACAGTGCACATTTTGAAAAGCCTAATTCTATTGCACTGAATACTTACACTGATTCCAAAACCTGAGTCTTAAGTTTCTCCCAAATTCACACATTGCTTACATTCTAAATTACCTTAGAGGACAATATGCTTCATAAAACATAGAATCCATCCCAATCTTTTTTACAAAATAGGTCATCTCATCAATGTAACAAAAAAAATCCCACAATTCTTTGTTATATTCATAAGACATGAAAAATTCCACAGATTGTCAGTTTTAGCATGCATGGTAAGAAACTGGTAGTAAGATTTCTTTATGGTATGCTGAATAAAAGAAGTAAGGTCTATTATTTTTATAGGTTATTAAATTACAAAGTAACATACCACATAGGAAGCATTCAATTGTACTTACACTTTGCAAAAGCAACACTGTTTGTTTAAACAAGGTAGAGTTGCCACTTAGATGTCCTACAAAAAACTAAAGCCACGGGATGCTTAATTAACACTAAACATTAATGAATGGTCTTGGCCTGTTCATCTTCTAATGAAAAAGCCCCTTTTCAAAGCTTTCTATCTTAAATTTTTGCAATAAAAACAACCATATTTGTATGAACAACCTAATGATAGTGTGGTTCATAGTAGTGAGGTACCAAAAGTAAGTTGTGATAACTAGAGGAGATCTGCTAACAAATCCCTTTAGGGCAAAGGGGAAATAAAGCTTACTTTATTAGGGCACTTATAATATATTTAATTTTAAATTTGAGAAACGTAGTTCAGAAGAATATTACTGGATAATTGTTAACAAAGATGACTGATAGCATGTGTAACAACATTTGAAACTAAATCAGTATAATTTATTTGGGTAATTTATTCAAACAAGCAGTTAATGCAGCTCTTTGAAACTTTCAGTTTTCGAAAGAGTTAAGCAAAGTCAAAGGAAATGTCCAATTCTTTCTGCCATAAGCAGGCACAACAAATTATGCAGAGGAACTATCATAAGGTGCAAAAAATTATCATAAGCAAAAAATTAACTCACAGTATAGATGCTTTGAACAGACTTTTCAGTTACAAAACTGTAAAGAGATCACTTTTAAATCCTTTCTTTATGCAACCTTGCATACTATCCTGTAAACAACAATGCAGCAAAGACGGCTAACTGAATAAGACAGGCGTTAGTCATTTTTTAAACATCTCTGGCCTTCACCTCTGTATCCAACCATCCTGCGCTACCTACTCCAGTAAGAATAAGGCCTTGGATGACAAAGCTATACCATGTTTCAAAGGAGAAATCAATTGCCATGAGATATACAGAAGGATCTAAAAGCAACTACTATCATCCAAAGCCTGTGATTTTTAAATGAGCCTAACTTAGTTTCGTTAAAAAAAACTCAGAAAATGTAAGGTAATTTAATGTTTCTTAAACTTTTGAACCTGCTCCCATTTCATTTTATTTTAATTTATGACCCCCCCCAGTCCTAGTACCCCTTCTACTTCCAGCAAATGAATATGTGTAGATCTTTTTTATTAAGTTGCTTCCATGTGTACAGATGCATAGGGTACTAACCTGAATAATATACTAGAAGAGGAGTAGAACATCTTTGATCCCACCTCATTAAACTCAAATAGGGGAAACATCATTACAGTAAAGCAGCAGCTCTTTTTTAAGTTTCCTTCTCTAATTTGATTGGGCTGATGGGGCAATAGGGGTCATTCCATAAATCTGAAGTGGATTAACAACAGTTACCTCCCAGGTGGCGTTCCACCCACCCATAGAGAGAATGTTCCACCGTTCTTATCCCTCTCTGGAACACTGCCTCCCCACAAGTGTCTCATGCACCAAGGGGTGCTTACTCTATAAATCAAGATCCTGAGGAGACTTCTCATTTTTCATACACCTTATAGAAATGATGTATGGAATAGAAGTTTAAACACACAGGTAAACAAGTGAGGACAAAAGGTGAACTTGGTAATGTTAAGGAAACATGAAAACTGGTAGAATCTGTAAGAAGGAAATCACATCTTACTTTCCAATGAGTGCAAAATAAGTTTAACAAAAAATAAATCAATGTCACATTATTAATATAAATGCCCTTATTTACATTATTTTTTCCTTATTTATGGAACTGCTGCAGCTAGTGAAAGGCTAATGATAAGGAGCAGCAATATGCATGTTACCCTCCAGAAGTCTGACAGCAGGTTTGTAACAGAACACCAGCCTTGTCCTAAAACCAACACCAATCTATGTGCGTTATTGCTTTATCATCTATTTATTCCCAGGAAATTGGACTGTGGGCAATTAAGATTTATAAGCTAAATGGTTTCAAAATTATATCTCAGAGAAAGTCAAATCTAAATTAGATCATCCCAGGCTTTTAGGCTTGCAGTTATGTGCCTTTTGAGCAAGTGCATTGCTATACAGAGACCATCTCCTCTTACACATCCTTTCCAAAACATCCTTAGTTTCCTTAAGCAAAATTTCCTTCAGGAGAATCTTTTCACTTATTGCTAGAAAGATTTTCCAGGCGCACACACAAAAAAATGGACTGGAAATATTTTAGTCACACTGGAAGACTTGCTGAAGGGATGACAAAGAGAGCTAGCATCCTAAAAAAAACATCTTCAGATCACTTCAGAAGTAAACAGCTCAGAAGGCAAGGGTGTTTTCTCCAATATTAACTACAATAAGATGCATTACTGACTCTGTGCACAAGCATGTATTAGCTCTTCTCCTTGTGGCTCTATCCTTCTCTGGCTTGAAATGTTGTTCTCTAGGTACATATCTGACCACAGCATAAGAACGGGAACTAATTTTTTTTAAAACCTAGATTAAAAATAGCTACGTTTAGTCTGAATTACCATTATTTTCTATTACAACTTCTATTATATCATTGTGAAGGTTAAAATAATGGCATGCACCTAGAACCTGCATGCTATGACTGGGATTTTAAAAAATAAAATTAAAATAAAACCTAACAAATAGAACGCAACTGAAATCTATTGTCCATTTTAAACCTGAAATACTTATAAAATTAGGCACGACCTCCTTGCATAATTTATGTGCACCAAAAGAGACCTATCAGGGCTATTTAACACGAGGTGTTAGCGCAAGGTGTAGCATTCAGTCTGTATCCCCCCCCCATCCCAGTAAACAGACAGACCAACCGAGAACCTGCTCCCCTCCCACCGGAGCGCCCAACCTGCCCCCGCCGCCCCCAGTCCCCGCCGGGCGCCACTCACTCACATGTCGGTGACTTTCTCCCGCTCGCTCCTCTTGCCGAGCACGGGGAAGGACACGAGGCTGGCCGCGGGATCGCTGCACCAGATCCGCTCGGGGCTGCACGTGCACGCGTTGGGGCAGGCCGAGGCCAGCAGCCCCCTCCAGGCGCCCAGCACCAGCCAGCACAGGCTCCAGAAGCGGGTCGTGGTCGCCGCCGGCCGAGGGGGGCCCTGCCGCGGCCGCCACCACCACGTCCTTGGCCAGGCCCCCATGCTGGTGGCAGCGCTGGTGGTGCCGCCGCCGCCGCCGCCGCCGCCCTCGCTCGCCTCACCGAGCGCGCTCAATCCTGCGCGGCCGCCCGGGCAGCAGCAGCGGCGGCGACGACGACGACGAAGACGCCGAGACTGTCAGCCAGGCAGTCACCACTCAGGCATCCTCTTCTCCCTGGCTCTCGGCTCGCTCTACTGTGTGGGGTCCCGCCGGCAGGCCGCCCTCTCGCCTCTCCCTTCAGGCGGCGCCTTCGTCAGCCCTCGTGGCGCAGCCGGTCCCGAGGGATCCTTCGAAGGAAAAAGAGCAAGAGACGCCCCGTGACTGAGCGCTCAACCTGCCAGGATCCGCCGCCAGCCTGACCCGCGCCCTGCCCGCTTCCCGCCCTGCCGCCAGGGGGCGCCGCGGCTACGGCTCCCGGCCGCCGGGATAATAGCGCGCCAACCCCCTTCGGCCAGGTGGCCGCGACTCCTACCTGGGGGCTGCTGAACGCGCCTCGCCCCCTCTCTCGCGCGCACATCCACAATCAGGCCGCCTTCGCCTCTTCTCGCGGCCCGATAATAAAGCTCCAGCCCCGAACCCAGGGGCTGCCACCGGCCAAGTGACGTGGGGCTGACGCAAGGAGGGGTAGAAACTCCGGGGGAAAAAAACCCTCTGCCTGAAATCCAAAGGGGGAGGGGGGAGGAGTGGGCTGCTTCGCATCAGATACCAATAGCCAGGCAGGAATTATCTGGACACAAACAGACAGGCACCCGCGCTCACGCACCGGGGATGAGCCACCGCGCGTCGCCACCGGCCTAATACCTCGCTCTTTTTTTAACCCTCCAGCCCATCTCTGCTGTGCAGTCGCCACAGTCACGCAGCTCTACCGCCACTCGGCATCGTCCTCCTTCCTGCCCACCGCCGCCCGCCCCAAAAAGACGTGATCGGAATAGAAAACCTTGCGAAGATCAGCGTTGGAAATGCGGCTTTTTGCACATCTCGCGGTCGCCCTCGCCTTCCCTCCCCAGCCCCTGTTCGTAACTTTGCAGGTCCCCAGTTGCAGCAGGGAATGTTAAAATGATGAAGAAACTGCGAAATCGAATGAGGGGCAATTGATTCGATCTCGGTCGGAACGCTAAAGCTCCTGGTAAAGGGTGGTGGTGGTGGTGGTGGTGATAGGTTTATGCAGCTCTTCACCATCAAAGCATGCTCCTCCTATCATATGTAAGCAGCATGTAACACACACACACGTATGAATGTGGACAGAGATGGAGGGGGAGCGTTTGCTAATGAGAAAAAATGAGATTCTCCTTTATCACTGTATAATAAACGTAATCGTTTTTAATACTCGGGTACGTGATGAATGGCTGGCATTAAAACGCCTTGTCGGGGAATTTGTCTTTTCATTAGTGGCTGCTCCATAGGTTGCTCCCCCCTCCCTTTCTCCTCCGCAGTAATTTAAAAAGGAACAGGAGAATCCACCGCAGTGCTTGCAGTCTTCGGCGAGCTCTGGCGCCACCCTGCGTATGACAACTGAAGTACTTGCGGGAATGAAAAACACTACGCCTAGCTGGCGGCTTAGTAGCCTCCGTGTGCGTCTTTTGCTGCTCTCTTCGCAACCTGTACCGACGAACCATGCGAGGATCCTGGCGATCGGAGGCCTAAAGTACTAGACAGGGTCAAGGCCAACTTAGAATAGACGCTGGAGATCCTTGATGGGATCTACCCGCTTTTTACGTGTAGCAGCTCGGAAAGGGATTCGAACTGAATCGGGACCCCAGCGATTTGCCCTTTCTCCACGCATCATTTCCCTGAGGTAAATTGCCCCCTGGGGGGTGACAGGAGAATACGGGGTGGAGGGAGATACACAGTGGTGGGCACTTGAGACTGTGGTTGCGTTCAGAGCCACACACTGCAAATCGTTACTCTGGTTTGATACTGTATTGTAAAAAGCTCAAAAGACAGTCAGCCTCCGACTTTGCCATGCACCCAGCAATCTTGAAACCTGCATCGCTTTTTCGGTAGAAGAAATGTGGAACCATTTTAAAGGTTTAGGAATGCAGCTTTACTAAGCATCTAGAAAAAAATCACGCTAGAAGGCCCGGAGGATATACAGGAGGAAGGAAAAACCTTATAGGGAGGCAAGGTGTCTCCCCAAAACACAGAAGCACCCTCTTCACATAGGATATTCACATAGAATAATAGGGTGTGTTGCTAACTACCACCTTACCTTTAAGATTGTGTTTTTGAAGAGAGCTTTATTCCACTGGATAATTCAAGTAAGTACAGATAAACTCGGGACTGGTCATAATGCAACATGTTTCATTCTTGACTGATGTATTATTCAGTATTATACTAGTAAGATCCTGCAGTTTGAGTCCTGGGAAAAATGCACTGTCCCAAATAGCAGAAATATTGCCTTTAGTCCCCTGCAACACACAGCTCCAATGAACTATTTTACTCACAGGGGCTTCTGTGAGAAATTTTGCTCCCCCCCCCCTTGAATAACAAAGAACAGACAATACAACAAACTCTTTGTAAAACACTCAGAAGCCCAAATTTTATTACGATGAAAAGATCTAAGTTGGTAAAATGGCATACTTGAATTGCACCACCATCATCAGCAACATATCATCATGGATTTGGTGGTGAAGTATTATTTTCTGTGGCTGGGCTTGGTGGTAAATTATTATTTTTTTGCTAGCCCTATAAAGCCAAGTCTCATTAATATTGCATGTAACAATATGATAATTCTTAGACTATCAAACTTTATAATACAATAAGAAAGCAATTATTTAAACTTAAATTTTATTTTTATTTGTTAACAACAGGAATTTGATTCATTTTTGTCCACAGTTGGAAACAGTAGAGTTGTAAACCACTGGAAATTTGAGGGAGCACTGGATTTTGGATTTGGTAAAATATAGTAAGGTCATTTGGTAAAATATAGTAAGGTTACACATTACTAAAATGCTTTCTAAGCAGTATTGCTTAAAACAATCTACAGAATTATGTACTGATAACTCCTGTACGTAGATACAACATTTATATCCAAGATTCATTTCTACAGATTACACCTACAAGATGCTGCCACTCTGATAATAAAAAAGTTAGATGCTTTCACATTCAGCTTAACTCAACATCCAAATCTGTTGTTAGTCTATGATATTAAAACCTGTTCCTTAGTCTAAATAATAAATCAATTTTTGCTTACATAGAAACTTCTGTAGAAAAGGAAATTACAGGTGTGTTTTTTTTCAAATTAGCAACATCAATTTTCCTATAAAGAAGTTCATTCTAAGCTTGTTTCTGGTTAGGACTGAGGGTAACATTAACGTATCTATGGCCCCGGTCACACGGGTGGATATCATGGGGGGGGGAGGCGTGGCTAATTGCCCCAGAGGAAACTAATGCGTGGCTGCCCGAGCACACATCCCAGTCAAGGTCCCGTGGTTGGGGGAAATGCCGATCAGACAGGTATCTTGCAGCGCAGCACAGAAGCGGCGCCGCGCGATCGCACCAGCAATCGCCATTTGTGCGCATGCGCTGTTGGGCGCTGTTGCGCAACCTGCGGAGACGAACAGCGGCGGGCGCCAAATGCCACGTATGTCTACGGGGAACGCGATCAGACGCCCGCCCTTGGCCCGCGGTTTCAGGAAACTAGTACCTCGTAGGTACTAGTTTTTAACTCTGCACCTTCGGCGGGGAGCCATGGGTTCGCCACGGGAGCACTGCACTTCCCAGATGTTGGGGTGAGATCGCGCCTGGAAAATCCGCGGGACTCCCGTACCTCTCCCGCAGCAACTTTGCTGTGTGACCAGGGCCTATGTAGATCTTAACACCTACCCCAGGTATCTCTTCCATGCAGTAAGTTTCAAAATTTATGGTCCAGTGCCAGGAGAGAGCCCAATAATGGACCAATAGTAACTCTCCCCCACAGGCACTAAGGTAAATTCAGATACATAAGAAGGGCTCCCCAAGCCCTGTCCTTTGTAGTTAGCTCCCATACAGAACAATCATCCAATCACCATAAATATAACATCAGACCTTTCCTCTTCAAGACAGAGTATGTTTTCTTCTTCCTCTTGTTTTCATGCCCAAATTTAGCCTTTTACATCTTTATTCCCAGTTCCCTTCTATTAGCTCTTCTACTTCCCATTAAAAGTAACTTTAATTGGTTATTTGGCTTAAACTAATGCAACAACACATTAGGTCTGTGCAAAATGGATTGGCTGTATTTGGTTTCTGAGATACAACTGTCTACAATCTCAGTTTTTCTTGCTGATTCTCCATTTCTAGTCTGTATCTTGTTAGAGTCATAAAGTTACTTGCTGGTTCAGTGCTCTGTCTCCCTTGATCTTCCCTTTATCCAGGAGTTACTGTGTGGAAAAGGAGTTGTGTATACACTATGTAAATGATTCCAATTTTACCCCTGGTCTTGTGTCTTGACTGTACACATGTAAAGGATGCTCTGATATGACAGACTAGGCATGGGGACTGGTTTGGGTAACAACACCCTTCCAAGTCCATCAAAGTCCTTAGGCTGGCATTGTAAATCTTTCCAAGTCCTGGACTCCATCTGAGTTCTGAATTTTTGTTGTTGTTCATACGGTAAATCCCTCTCACAGGATACTGCTCAAACAGAAAAGACAGCCACAACAGAAAGCAGGTTTTACTCAGAAAAGAAAAACATTCCTGATTTGCTAGAGCTTTCTCAGTTGGATCCTCTCAGTGTTGCCCTTGGCCTAAAACTATAAATTCATACCACTCAATTTTTATTTTTTTCAGAAGTTCCAGTGTCTATTGGTCTTCCACAATGTGCTTTTGAACATATGTGGTTAGGGTGTCTGGTTTTTCTTTTCCATATTTAAGAAGACCCTCCTTCATTTGTCAAGAAAATGTGTCAAAAATTGACACTGAAGAAGGAATTCTAGAGATATTGTCCACAAATACAGTTTGATGAAATTGCCATTTACAGTTATCCTTTTTCAGATTCAAATTTTTATATTATCTGTACACAAATGAATGTCTTAATAAATGTCTCTGTTTCTTACGTTTTCAAGCAGAGGTTTTTTTTCTTCATCCAAACTGGAACTGACCTCAGATCTTATGCTGATTTGGAAAGCATTTGAATCATCATCTGGTTTTCCCTTTGAAGGAAGATAGATACTGTTTTAGACATTCCAAGGAAGTAAGTCAAGAAAGTGCCTGTCTTGATGAAACCAAGTGATTAAAATGAATTCAGTAGTTTTTTCACAGTGTCTTTGTGCCAATCCCTTCAGAAATGTCTACATTCAAAACAAGAGTTTCCTGATTTTTGCTAATGCTTCCACTGCACCCACCTTAACTGCAACCCACCTAGTTTGGTGTGAAATATTGGGAGTTCTTTATCTTAGTTTCCAGTGCTTCACAAACTGCACTCCATTCTCTTTATCTTTTAGGTGAGTGATTGTAAAATGTATACAGTTTCTCAAAATGATGTCTATATCTAGAATGTATTTAATATATTCAATTGGTTTTGTACAACAGAGTGTTGGGATACCAGACAATAAACTCTTTCCTTCATTTTTGCAACCAGCCCATTCTGAGCAACAATAATTGTGTCCTGTTTTAGGAGGAATACAGATATATATGCTTCCTTAACTTGCCTATCAAATAACAAGTTCCTCTGTAGTTGGCTTTTCTGTGGGACATCTAAGAGGATTCCTAGTTGATTACATTAGTTGATTATTAGCAGCATCATTTCTCAGTTCAGTTGTTAGATGGCAGATAAATATCCTGTGTCTTATACACTAGTAACTTATTCCTGTATCAGATTTGTTAAGCAGACAACTAGTTCCTCAAAATCAATAAATAGTATATTATTCTTAAGAAGATAAGATATAATGAAGAAAGCATT